TAAATGCAGATTAATCTGTGTATTGAGCAATCATGACCAACTATTTAGACTCAATACGTTAACTGGCAAAAAACGAACATTCACAAAGTAAACAGAGCTTGTAAATATATATATATAAAACTGGATTTTACTCAACTTACCTCGAAACATTGTAACTCTCTGACAGCTCTCCGAAAAAGGACTCAAACTCTCAAAGGAGTTCGGGGAACATCGATAAAAAAGAAACGCACCCCCCACTTTTTATAATAATTTTGCATACTTAAATACCTCCGGTTTGAAAATCCGGACATCCATTTGAAAATGCAAGTCGAGATTTGGAACGGCTTTACATAACTCGGCCAAAGACACTGGGCACGAGTTAATGCGAAGAACTTCATGTTACGTCAAGAATAGTGTGCTGCTTGCCTGAGGGCAAGCAGCAATAAAGACGTTTTGACATGATACAAAACAAGACAATTTTACATACAAGGGTGACAAGGTATTTTATAGGATTATAGCTTATTTTGAAAATCAAATATTTATTATATTTTGCAATTTTAACTCGAAATAAATTAATAATATTAAAGTTTAAGACATGTGTAGTGCATGCCCCTTAAGTAGAGTATATTAATTGTTTACAATAATTGTGGTATATAATGTAGACATGAATTGACCACATGACCCCACAAGATGAACCCCAATGGCTTCTAAATAGAGAATGGGTGAAAAGTTCATGAATATTGAGCTTTATATGTGAATCAGGTTAAATACAATAATTAGTTAACCTAGCTTTATATAAAATGTACATACATACAGTTCTAATAATTGTATTTTGCCTCATACAATGCATATATGTGTGTGGAAACATTACATTATTATTCGGCTCACTCCCCACATTGGGGCTTTTTAGTGACCGATTACATCAAGTATTATGATTACTTATGTTAGCCTAGACTATTTATCTTTACAACAATGAGGATATGACATTACTTTCCTAACTGTGTTTATCCTAACCCACCCTGCCAATTTTGCCCTGTGGGAGGAAACCGGAGCAAAATATAAAATTCAATTCCTTTGAAAACACCCAAATTGCAATCCCTAAAATTTAAATTTTTTTCTTATATCGCCTTAAATCACCTAAAATCGCAGTGCTTGAAAGTCCCAGTTTTTCCTTGAATCGCCTAAAATCGCCTAAAATCGCCCAAAATCGCATTATATCGCAGCGATTTAAGGCGATTTACCGCCCCAGAGTAGGCCTTTAAGCCATGTTCCCCAACATCGATAACAGTTTAGGTTTAATTAACTGCAGTCAAGAAAGCGTTAGATTCGAGAAAAAAAAAATTTCCCTCAACTGAATGTATTGTTGAAGCAGTTGAAATTTGCTTAGCATGTAATAACTGCCAGTTTGGGGAAATGAATTTTCTACAGAAACATGGTACAGCTATGGGTCCTAAGAATGCATGTAGTTATGCGGATATAGCTATAGGGGAAATATATAGATTAGCCAAAACTAGCGGAAATATAAAGCCAGAGCTTTGGTGGCGCTACAGAGATGATATTATAGATGTCTGGAAGCAAGGTTTGTCCAAGCTTCTGGAATTTACATGATTTTATCAACTCTCTGTATCCTACCATTAAATTTGAGTTAGTCTATTCAGAAACTGAGTTAAATGTGTTGGACCTCACCTTACGCTTGGAGAATGGGTTTATTTCCACTGATGTTTATGCAAAACCTATTGCACAGATTGAATATATAAAATAATGGGATTGAAAACGTTGAAAACTAAGCACAGAAGAGCAGAAATACGCAACTGTTTTGGGAATGGACTCCATGCACACTCCCTCCTCATGACAGTTGGGTTTTTTTCAATACCCCAGCTCTCCCCATTTTTTCCTCAATAATATTTTCCTCAATGGCTCGAGTGTTCATAAACATACACTTTTTGCAGTAAAATAATACATAGGTTGCACTCTATAGCTATATGGAAAATTATCCGAAGATACCTTCAAGCAATAGCATGATAAGTAACTTCAAACATTATGGACCGGATTATAATAATACATCAGCATCAATGGCGTCTTGCTAATAATGACAAATTTATTTTTCCGAGCAGAGGGGCAATTAAATTTATTAATAATTTTGTTGTGTGCTGAATTGAATATTTTTTCTTCGCTCGTACTTGCATGTGTGATAATGTAATCAACTACATAACTATTATATGAATCTCTAGTACTATTTCATTACATTTGACGTACGTTTTCAGAAATATCTATCTAACATTAGGTGACGTACATTATCATCACAAACAAAATTACAGAGAGAAATGGCTGGAAATCGTCTTGCTGGGTTTGTAGTTTCTGGAAACATGTCCCCTCCCACGCTCATGGAAGAGCGTAATTGTCAATTTTCTCACGAATTTACTTCATGTTATGCAAGCGCTCTGCGGTCCTTGCCATGCAAGAATAGATGAATACATATATTTTGCTTGATCCCTCACGCCACACTGACAATTTTTTAAAAAAAGAACGAATGTTGAAATAAGTTAATAAATAAATATTTTCAGGTTCCTTGCAACAAAATCAAAAATTGTAAAAATGGAGGAAAGACAATCATTGATCTCAAAGGTGGACCAGGCTCATATCCTTACAGATGCAAATGTTCCCAGGGATACCAAGGAGACCTTTGCGATAAATTTGGTAAATATGTTAAAGTAAATTGTAAATTGGGTATAAATTAAAGTCATAACTGATCTGAAACTATATCTAGGCAAATATTTGAAATAAATAGGCAATTGTTTTCCACAATATCGACAGAAAAATCTAAAATATTTAAAATTGTTCACTTAATGAATCCATGAATGATAAATGAACTCACCTTCATAGTCATTTTCATATTCATATTATATTAGAAAATATATGCATGCAGAAACCCTCGCCTTGCTGACAAAGCCACTGTATTTTTCGAACATGAAGTGTTTGTATTTGTCATGGTAACACGATAATTTCATTAATAATATTTTTTAAATTGAAAAATCCCCTAAAAAAATATCACTTCTTCTAATTACAAATTTTCAATTTGCCAATCATATATATGCTGGTATGTTATTGTACGTCATATAAGCTTCAATTTAAGGTAAAATTCATCCACAAACGCTTCCCAAAACGTTCTACAATGTTCCTTATAAAACTAGACTGCCTTTATCGATAAATTTTGAGTTTGAAATAAAATGATTTCATATTCCCATATGCAAACAACTTTCCTTTCTTTTTTATTTACTTAAAAATTTTAATATAATAAAAAGAGTAATCACTAAAGATGCACTTTTCTATAGCTAGACTATGACAGGTTCTAACTGCGCATTTTGGCTGTTCGACCAGCCGAACGAGCGATCTGTCTTTGTTTAAAATACCCTCTGTTGGGAAGGCTGATGGAGACGAAACGAAAGCCAAGAAGGAAGCTGCCCGTAAATAATGGCTTCGTGTGGTTTTACGAACGCGAGAATTGGTCCCAGATTTAAAGAAAAGAATAGATGCTAATAATCTGCTCTTGTGTGAACTTCATTTTAAAGCAGAGTTCATCAGTGTTTACATTTTTGTTTAAATGTTTTCAATTGGCTTTTCCCTTATCAGCGCAAAATCTATTCAATACACACGAAGGATTAACTTTTGGAACTTCTACAGTGTAATTCAAACAGTGAATACAAGATATGCGAAGGTTTTCGAGAAAATGATTATATGAACCCCATTGCTAAAGCTGCTGTTGCCCCAAGCCACAGTCCATACAGTGTTTTCGATGTTGTTCGCCATATTGCCCCAAAGAACATTGGTATGGAGACAAATTATAGAGTCGTGGTGATCTTACGCTCTGTCGATTGTATGGTCCTTTTCGATAAGCAAGGTGTGTGGGGGGGGGGGGGGGG